ATTAAGAAGTCGCTCAACATGGTTTTGAAAAACATAAAATGTGTTTTCAACATCATATTTTCGCTTAATCAGATAAATGCAAGTAAAGCGACTAAAATCATCCAAGAAACTCAAGCAATATTTAAATCTACCAACAGAGGTACGAGCCGGCCCCCACGCATCGGTGTGAACTAGCTCAAGCGGAAAGTTGGTTACATGAGAGGAATTATTATATGGAAGCTGATGCATTTTGCCACGTTGGCAAGCATCACATACTAAAGACTCACGAGACGGTGCACAAGGTAGTTTATTCAACCTAATGACGGAATCGATGACGCTGGATGAAGGATGGCCGAGCCTCTTGTGCCAATGTTCAGAGGTGAGCTTGACAGCGGAGAGGACGTGGCGACTAGACTGACTGAAAGATGAAGACGCACGGAAGCTTGGCACCGGGTAGAGACCGCCACGGCTTCTACCTTGCAGAAGGACCCTTCTCATGACTTGATCCTTTAGACGAAAAAAGTCAGGATACATCTCGGCAAATGCACGGTTTTCAGAAACGAGTTTATGAGTTGAAATAAGGTGTTTGTGCAACTCTGGAACGTGAAGAACATTTTTAAGAGCAGTGGTTTGTGTGAGCCAGGAAGCATAGATTGACCAACGTGAGAGATTCGCAAACCTGCTCCGTTGGTGACATGGACCTTATCCTTGCCGCTGTAGCGATCATGGACCGTGAGGCGATCAAGGTCGCTGGTGAGGTGGTCCGTCGTGCCGGAGTCGAGGTACCAGTTGGTGTCGACGGAGTAGCCACCATGGCCGCCGGTGTTGGTAGCGTTGCTGTTGCGCTCAGTGTTGCCGTAGCGCTCGCGGTTGTCCTCAGCCTGATAGGCATGGTTAAAACGCTGCCTGCACCTCAACGCATCATGCCCATATTTGTGGCAGACTTGGTAGGTGGGCTTGTTGCGGTTGCGGCCCCCACGGCCACGGCCCTGCCCCTGGCCACCACGACCTCCACTGCGGGCTGCTGCATTAGCAAAGGAGAAGATCTCGCCGGTGGAAGTCTGCTGCTCAAGACGAAGCTCGGCGCTAAGCAAATACGCATAGAAGCTGGCAAGGCTCATTGGCTCATCACGTGCTGTGATTGAAGCAACAAGGGGCTCATATTCTGAGCCCAGACCAGCGAGCATGTAGCCAAGCACCTCCTCGTCGGAGAGGGGCTTGCCAACGGATGCCATAGTGTCGGCATACCCCTTCATCTTGTTGTAGTACGCAGCAGCAAATAGGTCCTTTTTCTTCTGGTTGGAGAGCATGTAGCGGATTTGCATCACGGTGCGCGACTCTCTGAGGAAAACATCGCGTGCAGCGCATCCCAGACGACACGGGAGGTGTGCAGCTGCGTCAATTGCCCGATGATGTCCTCAGTCATGGAGGAGAGCAAGGCGATGAGGACTACCTGGTCCTATTGATACCAGCGAAGGAACACCGGATTTGCCACGATACGGGCAGCGTTGCCGGTACCCTCCGTGATGGTCTCCGCCGGTGGAGGGATGGTGCCATCGACGTAGCCGAAGGAGCCCTGCGCGCGAAGGACAGGGACGGCCTGAGTTTTCCAAAGAAGAAAATTCTCCCTTGTGAGGCGGATGGTGATCAGGTTAGCGATGGCAGCAATGGAGGCGGAGCCGGACGAGACGATCGCGCCGGAGGTGCCATCGCTGGTAGCAGGAGTGGTGGACATGGTGAGGAAGAAGATCGAGCTCTGATTACCAAGATAGAAGAGATATTTGTCGTGATAATCCTCACTGTATTGGGCTGTTTATATAGTACATGTACATGTTCAGTTACAAGTCATTAGAACGTGGAATATCAAGAGAGAGGTCTCCAGACCTTCTACATTCTAGCACTAAGCTGTAATTGCTAGGCGTTGCAACTCATTATGCTAGACAGCACTAACTCGTAACATTTGACACGCCCGTCTCCACCACCGCTCGCCTCACCGCCCTCCGTGCGCGCCCTCCGACGGCGTGGACCGCATCAGCCGCCTCTCCAACGCGCTCCTCTGCGACATTGTCTCCCGCCTCCCCGTCAAGGACGCCGCCCGAACCTCTGCGTTCGCCACGCGCTGGCGCGGGGTATGGAGCTCCACGCCGCTCGTCCTCGTTGACACCCACATGGTCTCCTCCGCGCGCGCCAGCACGCCGGACGTCATCGCCGTCGTCTCCCGCGTCCTCGCCACGCACCAGGGGCCCTTCCGCTGCGTCCACCTCACCGGCAGCCGCATGGGCGCGTACCAGGCCCAGCTCAAGCGCTGGATCCGTCTCCTCGCCGCCAGGGGCGTCCAGGAGCTTGTCCTCATCAACCGCCCGTGGCTCCGCGAGGTGCCCCTCCCCAAGACGCTCTTCACCATCTCCACCCTCACCCGCCTCTACATCGGGGTCTGGAAGTTCCCGAACATGGCCGGCCTCCAAGGCGCCTCCTTCCCCCACCTCCGGGAGCTCGGCATCTGCAGCGTCGCCGTCGTTGTCCAGGAGCCCCGCCATGGAGATCCTCAACATCCAAGGGAGGATGAAGGGGGCGTGTCTCCGCCTCGTCAGCCACAGCCTCCGTTGCGTGCAGATCTGCTCTTTCGTCATGGAGAGCGTGGACGTGTTGAACGCCCTGCGTCTGGAGCGTCTCATCATGTCAGAGTGTCTCAACACTGCCGGCGGCGGATCATGCATTAAGGGTTGGCAACGTCCCCAAGCTGAAAGTATTCGGGTTCCTGGAGCCAGGAAAATACGTGCTGGAGATCCAAGACACCGTCATCATGGTACTACACATCCATCCTCCGTATGATCATTCAGCTTTGTTCAATTTGCGAACAAGTGTAGTTCAATGTGCCATCTTTTTTTGCTGAATCTGGTCCATTTCAATGCTGGCTGGGATTAAGACAAGTGCAAGCATGATGGTCACAAGCGTGAATGTCACGCGGGGAATTTCTGATCACACACCATTGTTCGTCGACTTAGGAGAGTCGAACCATATGGGAAACAAAAACACCTTCTCATTCGAGATGGCCTGGTTCGAACGCGAGGGGTTCTTGGACCTCATAGCCAGGGAATGGGCTAAGGGTGTAGGAGGTAGGACGGCGGTCGAGCGTTGGCAGAATAAAATTAGGCGTTTGAAAAGTTTCTTACAGGGTTGGGCTAAGCACCTCAGTGGGGTGTATAAGATCGAGAAGGATAGGCTCCTTTCTCCTGTACAGGCCCTGGACATAAAAGCCGAATCCGCGATTTTGCTGCCTCCTGAGCTCCAGGTTAAAAATGAGGCGGAGAAGAGGTTGAAAGAACTTCTCCGCGAAGAAGAATTGAAGTGGGCTTTGCGAGCTAAGGTCCGCAAAGTGATCCAAGGGGACGCGAATACTCAATTCTTTCACCTCATTGCTAATGGTAAGCACAGAAAGAAGCGGATCTTTCAACTTGAACAGGATGAGGGTACTATTTTAGGTCAGGATAATCTCAAAACCTATATTACCGATTATTATAGACAGTTATTTGGACCTCCGGAGGATAATTGTGTGTCCCTCGATGAGTCCAGGACTGAGGATGTGCCTCAATTGTCTGATGCCGATAATGATATCCTGGTTGCCCCATTCTCAGAGAAGGAGGTGTTTGATGCTATTGCACAAATGAAAAACAATAAGGCTCCCGGACCGGATGGGTTCCCGGTCGAGTTCTATAAAAAGTGCTGGCACATTATTAAAGGGGATTTACTACCTATGTTTCTCTGGACAGCTTCAATTATTTCACTTGAATTTTGGAACTATCACATTGCTCCCTAAGAAAACGGATGCTATGAGAATTGAGCAGTTCAGGCCGATCTGCCTCCTCAATGTTAGTTTCAAAATCTTCACCAAGGTCGGGACCAATAGGCTCACACAGATTGCGCATTCTGTGGTGCAACAATCCCAGACTATTTTCATGCCGGACAGGAACATCCTTGAAGGGGTGGTTGTTCTTTATGAAACGCTCCATGAAATCCACTCCAAAAAATTAGATGGAGTAATTTTTAAGGTGAATTTCTAAAAAGCGTACGATAAGGTCAAGTGGCCATTCCTCCAACAGGCATTGTGTATGAAAGGTTTTGATGAAGCCTGGCGCCGACAGGTCGAATCCTTTATGCAAAAAGGGAGTGTGGGAATTAAAGTGAATGACGATATAGGTCATTACTTCCAGACACATAAAGGCCTCAGACAAGGAGATTCAATGTCCCCTATCCTGTTTAACATTGTGGTGGATATGTTAGCAATTTTGATAGGAAGGGCTAAGGAGAATGGTCAAGTGGGTGGTTTGGTACCTCATCTTGTTGATGGAGGTGTATCCATCCTTCAATACGCTGATGATACAATCATCTTTATGGAGCATGATTTGGCCAAGGTGAGAAATATGAAGCTGGTGTTATGTCTTTTTGAACAATTGACCGGGTTAAAGATTAACTTTCGTAAAAGCGAGTTGTTCTGCTTTGGTAGAGCCAAAGACGAACAGGAGTCTTATAGGCAATTGTTTGGGTGCGAGTTGGGGAGTTTACCTTTCTCATACCTTGGCATTCCGATACACCATCGTAGGCTGACAAACAGAGAATGGAAGTGCATCGAGGATCGATTTGAGAAGAAACTGAGCTGCTGGAAGGGTAAGCTCATGTCATATGGAGGCCGTTTGATCTTGATTAATTTGGTGCTCACGAGTATGCCTATGTTCCTCTTATCGTTCTTTGAGGTCCCAGTTGGTGTTAGGAAAAGACTGAACTTCTATCGGTCGCGCTTCTTTTGGCAGGGTGATGAACTTAAAAGAAAATACCGGCTTGCTAAATGGGACATCATCTGTCGACCGAAAGACCAAGGGGGTCTTGGTATTGAAAATCTTGAAGTTAAGAACAGATGCCTTCTTAGTAAGTGGTTGTGGAAGCTTTCTTCCGGGACTGAGGCCATGTGGGTGTAGATCCTCCGCAGCAAGTACCTCCAGACTAAAACATTGTCCTAGGTCACAGTCAGGCCGACTGATTCGCCTTTCTGGAAAGGACTAATGAAAGTCAAACAATCAATGTTCAATAGGACAAGGTTTGTTATTGGAAACGGTGCAAGTATACGTTTCTGGGAGGATACTTGGCTTGGCGACTCACCTTTAGCCATTCAATATCCGTCTTTATATCGGATTGCTCAACGACGTGAGGTGTTCGTGGCAACAGTATTACAATCTATCCCCCTTAATATTCAGTTTAAACGGTCGCTAGCGGGCAATCGTTGGGAAGAATGGCTCCATCTAGTTAGGAGACTGATGGAGGTTCAACTTTCTCACCAACCCGATGAATTACGCTGGAAGTTGACTAGATCTGGAGTATTTACAGTTAAATCAATGTATATTGATGTTATTAATTCGAACTCCATTCCAACTTCCAAGTATGTCTGGGTTGTCAAAGTTCCTTTAAAAATTAAAGTGTTTATGTGGTTCGTCCATAAACAAATTATTTTAACAAATGACAACTTGATAAAGCGTAATTGGACAGGACCTACTAGGTGTAGTTTCTGTGATCGGGATGAGATGATTAAGCATCTATTCTTTGATTGCCCGTTGGCCAAAGTTCTTTGGCAGATGGTCCATATTGCTTTTAATATTACTCCACCGACTTCTGTCAACGCATTATTTGGGACATGGCTTAATGGGGTTGAGCCTGACTTAGCAAGACATATTCGGGTTGGAGTTTGCGCTTTGTTGTGGACTATCTGGAATTGCAGAAATGATTTGATTTTTAACAGAACATCATGGATTCATTTTTTGCACGTTATTTTCCGAGCTACAGCAGTGATCCGTTCGTGGTCGCTACTCACTCCGATGGAGGCCAGGGAGCATTTGGTTACTGGATCTATCCATTGGGAGATGATAGCTCGGGATATCTTCAACCGGTTTGGATGGCGGTCATATAATAGGATAGGCAATTAGTTTACCTATCTATTTTTAGCCAGCCGGTTGTGACGTCTTTTCCTGGCTAGTTTGTGTATCTAGCCTTTTAGGCTCTGTGTGAGCTGCCTTTTTTTTTCAGTTGAAGACTTTGAAACCTTGTTGGCACTTTTTGTTATTTGGTTGCATCACTCTGATGCAGAGGCCGGAGAGTCCTCCTTTTCAGAAAAAAAAGTATAAAGGTGCGCTTCGGAGTCTACGACGATGTCAAGATGGTGCCCGCCTTCCTCAAATGCTTCCCCAATGTCGAGGCGCTGCATATTACGGTACTACTAGCATTGCATCCTCATACATATCGATGGTGCACGATCCATTAATTACCTGCTGCTGACATGTTCACAAAAAAATTACGCAATTTGCAGTCTGAAAAATGCGATCAACTCGCCGGCAAGTTCGACCTCAAGTTCTGGGAAGAGGTTGGTCTCATCGTAAGTGTGCTCTTGCGCGGCTCAAGGTGATCACGTTTCGTGAATATCGTGCCAGGCAAGATGAGCTTGCCTTCCTCCAGTACATCCTGCAGAACGCAATGGTGCTCAAGTATGCAGTGGTCCAGATAGTCAATCCAAATTTCACTTCACTGTCGGTAGATGAGATGGCCTACACCATAGACAATATGCAGCCTCCTAAAAATAAAAGGTGGGCCAGTTCAGTTGGTTTATTAACCATGGGGACTCATGGCCCTGAAGGAGGTGAAACTTGGACTTTTCGCAAAGGAGCAGACCTCTCCGACGACGACCCTATTGCACCGGTTAAATTCATCATAAGGGGTTAGTCTTGTTTTGCACTATCTATAATTAATTCTACACATGATCGATGCACAGTTTTAGATTCTCAGTATGTTTTACTCCTATCTGAAGATTGTGCTAACATGATTATTATTGAATATACTATTGGTGAAGTAATTCAGTAGTGTTATTCCCTTGTACTCCCTCCATTTCCTTATACAAGGCCACTATCAAAAATACATTTTGCATCAATACAAGGCCATTAACAGTAACCGAGGTAAAAATTAATGATGTTTCTTCATACTAGCAACTTTTTAATAATTACATGCATGTAGTCATAATGACACTCAACTATTTCCTTTCCATTCATTCGTTGCATGCGTATGGCGTATTAATGATCCCGGTTAATAAGAAGAAAAGTTGACTTGAAAAGCAATCATTAAATTTTGTCTTGGTACCTGTAATATGAGTTTGTGGCCTTGTATAAGGGAATGGAGGGAGTACAATATATATGACCATCTAGCAACATATATACTTATTGCTTGCAGATTGCATCATGTGATCCTGATTTCTCATTAACAAAACTTAATTTAATTACCTCTATAGTGCGTGTTTCATTCTAGAGTTATTCCAGTATGAAATGTGAATCTTTGTGTATACCTATGCGAGCTAGGTTGTTTAATTTAATTAGGTATGCATTTATTTAGCTTTCAACCTCATGACCACTAGACATCCTACTAGACCAATTGTTCCTTGGACACAAGTCTCACCTTTCAGGTTGCATGCATGTTTCTCAATTCTCATTTTGCACAAAATTATGATGCATGCATGTTGTTTCCACTTAACCCTACTACACTAGCCAAAGTACTTACCTTGGTTAATTAGCCACTAAAATTACAGGCCATACCATTTATGTAATGCGCCTCACTTACTGGCAAAATTCACACATTGCCAAGACCATAAGTTTGCATTTTGATAAAGAGTCAATTACACCGGTGGTGCTAGAACTTGCCACAAACGATCACTTTAGTACTAGAACTTACGGCATACATTGAAGTGGTGCAAAAACTTGGCTCGGACGTGCAAATACGGTGCTAATTGCATTTGTATACACCGGCGATGTTGACGGGCCATGACAGCATGGTGTAGGGCCAGCTGTCAGTGACTGCATTGTGAAGATGTGCCTGTGGCGTGCTATTTTACAAAACACCCTTCTTTATTTTTCGTTTTTTTCTTGAAAAGCCCCCTATCAAGTATACCGTAATTTGCATGTGTCGCATCAGGTGTGTCCCACCTATCAGAGAACCATCACAAATTTTATTAGAATGAAAAACAGGGTGCACCGAGGTATTCAAAGAAGTGACATCGGTCTAACGCACGCGTGTCTAGCCACCCGCCCTAAGTTTGGTTGATGACTTACAAGCATACGCGAACTTTATATCTTGCATTAAACAACATAAATTTAAAAAATTAGTCCGGAGAAAAACTTACGCCCTTGGGGTTTCAAACGAGCGACACGAGTAAAAGTAGAAGGGCGTGCCACTCCAACTAATGGAATCTCATGTCTTCATAGAATAGTTGAAGTTTTTGTTTATAACATAACGTGCCCATAGGTTACAATTTCTGTTAGTTTTTCCCATTTTCAAAATTTATAAAAATATGTAAATTATAATATAAATAATATACATAAAAAATAAATTATACTAAAAATGATGACACATAATTTAGAAAATCCATAAAATAAAATAATGAATTATTTTGTATAATTTTAAAAAGTGTTTCCATATAAAAAATAATTTAGAAAATATATCTAAACAAATTATCATATAAGTTCAAAAAATAGCGTGTGTTTTAATAAATATGCATGTTGTATAAAAAATAAATTATGATTTAATTTTCATGGTGTTTTAAATGTGTTCATGCATTTCAAAAAAGTTTGTGTGTTTTATTAACAAATGTATTTTAAATAAATATAAATTTATGTATGGAAATAATAAGTCAATAGTGTGCCTCCAGACTACGGATTCTCAAATGAATACATATTTACAATTATAACTATAGTTACAATCTAAATATCTTTTATAAATTTAGAAAAAAGAAAAGAAAAAACTGACATGTTGAAAATGGGCCCCGCTAACTGCTGTCTGTTGTAGCCCAGCGGGCGGCCAGTCGTAGCTGCTAAAAATACTTTCGCTCAAAAAAAAAAGATGCCAAAAATCTTTCCTTCAAAAAAACAAAACCCCGCACACAAAGCACGTGGTTGTATTGGTAGTCCTCCTGTTAGTATCTCTCGCCTCGCTTGTTCGAAACACCTCAGCGTGTGTTTTTTGTGAAATTTAAATATCTACGCATGTGAGTTATCTTGAGGTTATTACCGGTTTAAATTCTAGGTGGCCAGCTTTTTTTCATTCTGAAAAAAATTTGTGATGTTTGCTCGCCATACATGCAGGTAGTGTACACCTACAGGGTCCTTTTCGAAAAAAATTGGAAAAAATCAGAGGGTTTTCGCAAAAGGAGTACGCCACACGCCCTGACTCCACCGTGCGTCAATGACAGCGGGCCCTATGCCATGCAGTCATGCTTGTCAGCGTCACCAGTTTATACAAACGCGATTAGCACCGTATTTGCACGCTGAAGCCAAGTTTTTGCATCAGTTCAATGTATGCCGCAAGTTCTAGCATTGAAGTGAACGTTTGTGTCAAGTTCTGGCACCACCGGTGTAATTGACTCTTTGATAAACAGCCTCAATTTCTTCAACATGTCTTGGTTCCTTCGGTTTTGCTATGTTGCTGGACCACTTGTCTACTTCCTCATCCTAATCAGGCTGTCTTTTGTTATGCTATCGTGTGGCATCAGTTGCAGGCCTGGCTACTCGCCAGCAGAAGTCACGAGCTGCCAAGCATCGCAACTGAGATCTTCGACACAAGGAGTTATGCATTGCCGGCCTGTTTAATCTGAAGAATTAGCCTACCTGGTTACTTTTCCATGGTTCTTGTAGTGATCGAGTTCTGAAAATGGTGTCAAGTTGCTACTCTGTTTTGCATGAGAGCCGTGTGTGTTGTGGTGTGCATGGAGCTGTGTGGTCTATTGCTAAAGCCTAAAGATCACTCTCCGGTAACTGAAAAAGACATGGTGTAGTTGGCAACTTTAGGCACAGCAGTTGTCGAGTCAACTGTAGAAGCAAGTTTCGTTTGATTATGATGAACTACCTGTTTACCGGAGCTCATTCTAGTTCAGTATAATATGGCTAGAGCTCATTCTCTGGTAGTACATAAGAAAGGCATGTCGAATTGGGCAACTATTAGGAAGAACTAATGAATCCTTGGACTGTGAAACAATTTTAGTTTCATCGGGATGAAATACTTGTGCCTTCCGAACAGAATGCTCAAGGAGGCATCCTAGAAAACTGACATGGATAGGCCGAGTCATTTCTGTTAAGACTTGATGGTTAAAAGAGAACTATCTTACGGCTTGCAAATGTGCTTCCTAGTGTTATCTAAAGCCAAATTAAAAAAAGTTCTACGTACAAAGTAAATGCATGTAAAATATTTGGAATTCCAAGATATTGTGTACCATCTACCATCGGCGATTTTTCCTCAGGTCAGAAGAATGTTTTTCTCAACATATTTGACTGACATTGTTATTATAAATTGGTTATTTGGTGCTTCCTCCCTTAGTGTCAATGCACGGCTCAACCTCCCGCCTGGACTCCATCATGGCGACATTGCTTTAACGTCGTTAGGAGCTTGACATATGTGCCCAGATTCAGATCGCCACAGCTATCAGAAATCCACAGATGAACTTAGACTGTTCATCGGCAAACGACAGAGAACAGGAGCCGGGCTTTCTGCTTGATGGTTTCAGGATAGCCTCCATATGCCTACAGGTATAAATATCAGACCACCAAAACCAAGAAAGTACTTGAAAGGAAAAAATGAAGCACTCACCAGCCAGTTGTGAAGTTAAACGATCTCTGAATTGCTGCAATATCTGAAGACGATGCAGCCTGAAGACCATAGCTTCCATGGATACACCAAATGTTCATGTCTCTAGCACATCATCTTGTTTAAGGAACACCTTCCAGCAAGAATTGGACAGCTAGTCTAATTTTCTGAGCTTGGCATTTTCAGAGTAACACCATCAATAGGGCCAGGACCAAGCTGCTCCAGCCTAATCAATTGACCGATACTTGTGGATAAGCAAAGCAAACTACTACCAAAACAAGAACCATACATGGCAACTCAAACCATTGGGATACTCTTATTTAACGATAATCACAGCAGGAAACAAGCACAGGCGAAATAAATCACTACTTTTGAAATATCAGTTTGCCAAAAGAAGCACAAATTCAGTTGTTACAACCAAAGAGGCAACAGAGCATCGGCAATCATCCATCAATCAACTCCCCATCCCGCACTAACAGCACTTGTAGTTCCAGATAACCAGAGTCGGCAAGCACAAAGTAAAGTAACAGAACCAGCTAATACTAGATAGATACAGGCAATGCGGATGCAATTGCAATCTAGGAGGAGGTGAACTTGGTGACGGCCTTGGTGCCCTCGGAGACGGCGTGCTTGGCGAGCTCCCCGGGGAGGACGAGGCGGACGGAGGTCTGGATCTCCCGGGAGGTGATGGTGGGCTTCTTGTTGTAGCGCGCGAGCTTGGCGGCCTCGGCGGCGAGCTTCTCGAAGATGTCGTTGATGAAGGAGTTCATGATGGACATGGCCTTGGAGGAGATGCCGACGTCGGGGTGCACCTGCTTCAGCACCTTGAAGATGTAGATCTTGTACGTCTCGACGCCCTTCTTCGCCTTGCTGCCCTTCTTCCGGCCCCTCGTCTTCGCCTCGCCGCCGGCCCCCTCCTTGGACGCCGTCTTGCCCGCCGGCAGCCGCTTCTCGGCCTTGGGCTTCTTCGCCGCCGGGGCCTTCTCCGTCGCCGGCTCCTCCTCCGCGGGCTTCTTCGCCGCCGGCTTCTTCTCCGCCTTGGGGGCCATCGCTCGCTGCTTCGGGAGAGTGGGGGATTTGCGGGTGCTGGAAGAAGGTGGGGGGTTTGGGGCGGGATGGGAGGAGAGGAGGAGCGGGGCTGCTGGGTTTATACGGAGGGGGAGGCGGGCGCTGATTGGTCGAGGCGTGGTTGCCCCGGATCGATGAGGTGGAGCCGTAGGATGCGTTCGGCGATGTTTGGTGTGGACGGCGGGATGCGTTTCGGAGCGGATCGCTGGGTTTTTTGTAAGGGCAAAAATGATCTGGGCGGGAACGGAAACGCCGGAACCGCAGGTTGATTAGAGCGAGAGCGCGCGACCGCACCGCGGGAATGGTTTTGGATTTCGCAGGCTCAGGTTTTGAATCCTGCCCGCCACCAGCATTATAGAGCACCTAAGCCATGATGGCCTTCCTAAAAAAGTATCATTAAAGGACCCACAACCGGAGTATGCTATGCAAACGCTCGATCGGCCATCACTGTCTGGAGAAAAAAAGGACCACCTGCCGGCCTTCTCAAACAAAGCCCAAATATATGGTTGTACGGCAACCCCATACCCGGTTCATATGTGAGGCGAATTTGGAAAGATCCAGATGCGCCCGGACACCGTCCTCACGTCAAACCAACCCGCTATGGCTCATGCCATCCTCACCCCTATCCCTACAAAAACCCGAAGCCAGACACCAAACCCTAGTCAACCGTACTTTCTAAACCTTTTCGCTCCACTTTCATCTCCTCACCTTCCTTTCCCCGCCCTATCCTTTGCTCCGCCGACTGAGGGAAACTCACTGCAGACCATCGAGCTCGTCAACGGCGAAGGGCGAGGAGCTAGCGCTTTGGGTTGTACTCCGTCGCTCATGAATGGTCTGGGTACGGACCTCCTCGTCCACGGCGTCGGCGGCGACTCGGGTGGGCACCTGCAGCTCCGCGGCATCCTACGGATGCACGACGCGGTTTCATGCTTTCCCGGGTGGGCGACAAGGCGACCAACACCCGGCACCACCAACAATTACTCCTCCCGGGCGCCTTTGGGTGCTCGTGTCTACAAGGCAGTCGGGGTCTGAGGGTAGCCCGTATCTGTGCGTAAGGAAGAGGGTGGCAGAGGCAGCAGCCAGCCGCTCCAAGTGTGGGTCCGGGAGATCCTCTCCGGAGCCGTTGCCGCCCGCCAGCAACGACGATGAGGCCCTCGGCAATGCCCGCGCCCTATGGCGGGGCGGCTTCGCAATGGTCGGGCACCCTGTATGCCTTCACGTGGGACCAATGCTCCTTCCCGAATCCGACGTATGAGTCGTGATAGCTCCAATTGTCACGAACGGCGTCAGGAAGCTCTAGCATCGCCCATCAAGTATTTGAGGAAAATCATCAACTAAAACCGCATGTGTTTATTGGACCAGTTTTAGGATGCTAGTTTCATTGTGATGCATGTTTAGGACTCATTCATGATGGATATGATAAATGGTGGTTACGATCCTCCAAATTTTGGTACAGTTGATCAAAATTCACTTTTATTTGATCTTGGGCAATCATTGGGCACTCAAAAGAATAAGGCGAAGGCAAGACTAAATGCATACTCATTCCAGAAGATACATTGTTGTGCAGAGCAAGGTTGAACACATGCATGTATATTATGCGTGGAACTAAGTAAAAGGACTCGGAGTACTGTAAGAAACCACGCATGGTACCATGAAGACAAGCACTGCATGAAACCACATCCAGCCCATACCGATCGTAATAGCTCCCTCCAACATGGGTATCCACCATCCAAGAGCCAACGAACAAGTTTTGTGGTGCATATACTCTAGTGGTGAATAGGCACCATAGTGACATTGGAGTTAATAGCCATGTAAGTTTTGTTTGCTTCACATTGGTCATCATGTTCCTTACTTGCTTCACTTCATCCATTTATGTTGACGTTTGATTTCTGCTTGCAAGACGGGGTTGGCCGCCACTTTGTACCATCAAAACAAGAAGAACCATTCACTTTGTCCCATTGTTGGATGGTGTTCAATGGGAAACCCAAGTGGTCAATCCTCGTTTAATATTTCAACAAACCGGTCAAGAAGAAGAACAACTATGGCCCAAGCTCTCACCAATCTATTGGATTGGATGATGACAATAACCAATGGGGAGGACAGACATGTCATCGAGCCAAATAGGAGTAGACCCTTGAGGGGGAACAAGCGTGAAAAAGATAGGCCGCGCATGACGACGGGACGAGCAAGGTCTCGCCCACTTGGACAGACATCTTTTCCAACAAAGTGGTGAAGAAAATGGAGGAGAGGTACAAGCTATTCTTGTATGTGCAAAAGGAGAGGATGGATTTTGACCGGGAGAGGGTGTGAGTTAGGATGATGATTGAGAGGTAGATGGTATCATGGTAGACATGAAGAAAATGAACAAAGAACAAAAATGGAAATTGAGAAGGAGAAGACATTTGAGACAATTGAGCTTGATAAAGAGAATGTGAGGCTAGCGAGGATCATGTTGGCCGACAACAATCTCATGCATGACCATTGCAAGAACTGGTTCATCAACATATCAATGTGCGCAATAAAGACAATTTGTTGTGGATTATTTCTGCTTGTGCTGATTTTTTTGTGTGCTATATTGGTCGAATGATCCACGTGCATGTTTTTCTTTATTGATTTAAGGTTTCAAATATGGGATTACGATTGTCCGGACGAAAAAATGGGGTTGACCCACTTCTATTTGTGATTACGTCCGAACATGTCCGTGAACATATGGATTAAACTAGGCAAGTGTGGTTGGAGATGCTCTTAGTTTATCTTGGGCAGTTGCATTAGGATAGCTATAATTAGTATCACTCTCTCTATTATAGCATGATTAATAATATAGAGGATTGATGGTTATAACATGTTGCCGTGCAGCTATAGCTAATATGTATAGTGCTGGGCTATAAGAAAATATACCGCTGCCTCCGTTTGTAAATATAAGTGTTTTTAGAGATTTTAGTATAGACAACATGAAGATGTATATAAACATATTTTAGAGTGTAGATTCATTCATTTTGCTCCGTATATCAAAATTGCGTAGGAGCACTCGGCCACTCTCCACCCTGAAATCTGTTCCATAAATTCTCCTCGGGATCCACAATCACTATATTAGTTGTTTTGTATTCATCCATTCTCTCTCGCGTATTCATCACGCACTAATGCGTATGTCCCTACTAAAGCTGACGCGTTTGTCCCGATGGCAGAAACTTTTGTCCAAAGTGGTGGAGCCGGCCTCATGCACCATCTCCCCAACCATCATCTGCCCAACTACCAACCTTGTTAAATGCACCCGCTCCGGCAACGGCTCTTATTTAACTTCATCTTCCTCCTTGGTTATGCTCATATTTAAGTTCATCTTCCTCACATCTCCCATATCCATTCGTTTCATTCACCTCATACATAGATGGTTCTGATAACCAGGTCAAGCTCAACACAGCCCATGTCACATCTCCCATATCCATTTGATTTATAGTGGAAAAGACTTCTTCATTTTCATTGTCTGACACCTAGTGCATAAAGTTAGTAAAAAACGAATGCACACTTTGTTCCAAACATTTTCACCACTGATTCACTTCACTGTAAGCAGATGAGATGACCCTCACCATAAACAATATGCCTAATGAGAAATGGGTCAGGAAATTTCAAATTCTTGTCTTTCAGAGTATTGGTCCTGAAGGATTGAGTCCTTGGACTTTTCAGCGAGGAGCAGACCTTTCCGACGGCGACCCTATTGCACCGGTTAAATTCATCACAATGCGTGTTAGTGTTGTTTTGCAGTATCTACATTTCTACCTACGATGCGCTGTTTTATATTGTCAGTATGTGTTATCTGAAGATTGGGCATTCCTCTAGGCTGTGCCAACATGATTAGTTTGAATATATTGGCGAAGTAATTTAGTAGTGTTATTGTACAACATGATTATTCTGTAGTGCTTTTATTTTGCAGATATTCCAGTATGAAATGTGAATCTTTGTGTGCAGCTACGCCAGCTAGGTTCATTAATATAGGCATGAATTTATTTAACTTTCAACCGCACGACCACTAGACATCTTAAACCAATTGTTCCTTAAACACCAGGTTTCAACTTCCAGGACTTCAGAGGCTGCATGTTTCTCAGTTTTGATTTTGCACAAAGCTATATGATGCATGGATGCATGTTGTTTCCACTAGCTAAATTATTAACCACCAACCGGCCATCATGTTAGCCGTTTTGCAATACTCCCCACTTTGCCAAGACCTTTAGTTTGCATTTAGATATGCATTTTCTGTTCTACTATGTTGCTAGACCACTTGTCTGCTTCACTCCTAATCAGGCTGTCTTTTGTTATGCCTTCATGCGTATCAGCTGTAGGCCTGGCGAGGCGGCGGCTCACCAGCAGAAGTCACAAGCTGGCAAGCATCGCAACTGAGATCGTTGACACGTGGAGTCATGGAGTATGCACTAGCCTGGTTGCTTTCCATGGTTCTTGTTGTGATCGAATTCTGCAATGGTGTCAAGTTGCCACTCTTTTTTTGTAACGAGCAGTGTGCTCTATTGCCAGAGATCATTCTCCGAATTAAGGAACTGTGTGTAACTGAAAAAGACATGGTGGAGTAGGCAACGTTAGCCGTTAGGCAGAATTAAGGTGGTACCTTGGACTAAGAAACAAGTTTATTTTGGTAATGCTGAACTACCTGTCACTGGTAGAAAAGGGGCCTGTTGTCCCGGTTCGTAAGGGCCTTTAGTCCCGGTTCCTGAACCGGGACTAAATGGTCGGTACTAATGCCACGGCACTTTAGTCCCGGTTCAGTCCAGAACCGGGACTGATGTGCCTCCACGTGGCCTGTGCGCGGAGCCCAGGCAGGAGACCCTTTGGTCCCGGTTGGTGGCACCAACCGGGACCAATAGGCATCCACGCGTC